TTAATCTGCCACAGAGTTTCCTGATCGAGATCTGTCCTTCAAGCAGTCTTATCAATGGGTTGAACCTTCTGGGTTGTCTCTACTGGCACTGCCTTCCATTCTTAGAACTTTAGATTTTACTGCTAAGTCTCACAGCTGGGAACTTCTTAGCAATTTGACCTGGGTTGCTTGTATCACTCAGCCTCCAATAAGGAAGGCAGGCAGAGCCTGGAAGTTTGCATTCTCTTGGGTGGGTAGTCTCTAACAAAACATTATCTGGAGCTACAAAGGCCAGCTTCCTTGCTTACAGAAAGGAGCTCCCAGGGTCTTGAACTAAGACTGAGATTTTACCAAATTTTCCTCCATTCCCTTCTTCATTCCAATTCCCTCCATTACAGTCTCACCTACACCAAAGTCTTGGATGAAGTTATTAATCCACTGTTTAACCTTGGACTCCTTGCTTCTCAGACAGTTCAACATCATACAGACATTTTTCTTGAATCAATCTATTGTTTCATCCAGAATGAAATAATTCAGAATCAAATATGGATAAGTATTCCTTTGTAGAGGCTAGACTAAGGGAAACATCATTCCCTCCCTCAAATTTTATGGAAGGATTACTATCAACAATGCTGATGTGTTTATTCTGTGCCCAGTTTTAAGTATGTGTCTCAGTAGTGATGACTGGAGATGTTTTCAGCAACATAATTCTGAGGCTAAATGGGGAAGAAACTTCAGAAATAAAAGCACCATCCACTGACTGCTTTTCGGTGTTCCAGACCTGCAGAGCTCTTTACTTGTGTCCACAATTCGAAGTTGGTAAACTTAATAGCCCAATTTTAAATAGGAAATGACTAATCCAGAGTACCTAAGCAACTTGAATAGCCATAGAACATAGAAATCATGCTGTGCACTTCAGAAAGAAGAATTCACCAAGTTTCTGGAAGCTTCTTACCCCATTTGTAAGTTTCTAATAATTTGGGTTTGAAATAGAAGTATATTCCCACAACCCTCCCATTCCCAACCCCACACGCAAGCTGCCATTTAACACAGACAACTTGGCATTAATGTAACCAAAACAAGTGCACTATCCCCATCAGAGTGTTTTCGACTGGAGTCCTGCAAGGGAAAGGGGTGGAGGCGAGGACTGTCATTCACTGTTGCCCTGAGAACAAAGCAAGCCTGACATTGCAGGGACAGCCCCAGGAAGCATTTCAAAAGCACCACTGGAACTAGACAACCTTTCAATCCATTTATCAAAGTGTCTGCAGTTCCTGTTTCAAGGTAGATGAAGCAATAATAAATTTGCGAAGAAAGTTAATCTGTGTCCAAAGCATTTTAGTAAATTAAAAAGGTTAGGGGGAGGGCTCTCTGGAAGGGGGATATATCAGTTTTGCCAAGTCCTATTTGACATACTGTCTCCTTAATAAGTCCTCTTTCGTCCTGTGTTTTTGGATGGAATAATCAGTCAGTTAATCATTTTCCGGAAGCTGGAAAATGCACTTTAGCTAATGCAACTCTCCTTTCCTTTCAGACGTCTAATTGTTTAAAAAGGCATCCTGATCCATGGCCCCACTTCCCAACCAAGAAAGCCTTCCTGACCTGTCATCTTTCTTCCTGGCACCCTGAAACCCCAGCACACACCTTGGACGGCTCACCCTTTCTCTAACCTACGCCTTTCTTCTAATGTTTTCTTCAAATCCCTTTCTGACCACTTCTGAATGTTTCCATAAGTTTCTTCCTTGTGAAGGGTGAGACACTAAAACCTGAGCAAGCAATTGGCTGGAACTAGACTCTTAAGCATCATGGATAGATTTTGTTATTTTTATTTAAGTGTCAGCCAAAATTGGTGGCTCTTGTCTCTCTCAAGGATCAGACTTAACAATAGCTCTATGCTCAGACATCATGCTGAGATAAACACACTATTAGGAAAGCCTCACAAAGGCCCCCACGATAATTGTGAAGGGATGGTTACCGAAAATGAAGCACCCAGCCCTGAACCCTCCTCCATGCCCCATCAGTAACACCATTAAAGCTGTCAGTTTGTCAGCCCACTGGAGGTATTTATGAAATCAATATACAATCCTGCGGATGCATGACTGCGGTATTGTTAGCCGGAGAAGAGAGGCTCGGTAGAAAATAAAATTAATAAAATTTTACTAGCAAGTTGTCAGGGGGAGCAGATAAATTCCCTCCCATCTACTGTTTTACTCAATTGGGATGGGGATAAAGTGGCAAAGGGACAGAAAGAAAGCTCTGCTTTTTTATTGGGCTCTTTTAAGTAGGAACAAGATGGGTACATTTACAGGAAGGACATGGTAGCCAGAAACCAAAGCAGCTGCCTCCCCCAAGTGCAGCCTTTGAAAGATATCCCCCCTAAACACATTCCCCCATCTCCATTGCCCCAAACAACAAGGCAGGCCTTTTGTATGATTGCTAGGCTTTCCAGTATGCTTTGGTATGGGCTAATGTGTTACTGGAATAGGCTAACCTTCTTCCAGCCATGGTCAAACCTGTCAGTTCTAGACCTTCCTATTTGATTCTTTTCCTTGACCCTGATTTTTCTCATGAACCATTTATCAGAAATGTGGCCAGACCTCATCTCCCTAGCAGCCAAAGATAACAGCAAAGGCTCAAAGGGTATTGGACAGAGGCTTGTGGCCTGGAGACAGGTCTCCTCAGAGAAGACTGGGCCTATTGCGGCTGCCGGAGCTTCCAATGCCGCCCAGATGCCTGGTGGAAATTGTATTAGTCGGATGACAAGACCTGGTCCCCCTCTCTGGAGGCTGATGGAGAGCAGCCTGAGTGGCCTGGGTGACACTGCCTGACCTCTGCTGTCATCATGGGCTTTTGTTCAGCGCCCCGACTCCAGGCTGGAGCCCTGTTCATTGAATCAGGCCTGGCTCAGGGAGCCTGCCATAGAGCTCATTGTGCATTACGGTTTACTTACATCCGTTGTAGAAAAAGGAAACTGGATTTGAGATGGAGGAGCACCGTGCTATGTGTTCCCAGAAGTGTATAAGACTCAGGTACATCCTACCCCAAAAGTGAGCCTTGATTTGGAGCCTAAAAGTAACCCCAGGCTAACCTAGGGGTCGTGAGCCTCAGCCAGCTGCTCAGAGCCTATGTGGTTTCTTAACAGGTAAGAAAATAAAATGGTAATCTCTCTTCTGTTTTCTGCTCCCCCCTACCCCCTTGCAAAGAGTCCTGTAGACTGCCTGGGTTCCAGTTTAGTATGACTGTCTGTCCTCTTCTTCCACATAAGGTTAGAGTTGTCAGTAGCTTTTTAGGAGACACCCTTATAAATCAGTATGTGAGTGTCCATCACAAATCTCTCTTTAGGAGAACTCAGTAAGGATGAGTTTACCCCATGACAATTAAGTTCTCTTTGTAAGACCTTGTGCCACAGAAATTGATGGACCATTATCCCTAAGGGTTTGTCAGAGAATTTTATCCAAGTGTTTCTATGTAATTTAAAAAAAATTATATTTATTAGAGTGTGTGTGTGTGTGTGTGTGTGTGTGCGCGCGCGCGCGCGCATATGCTCATGTGTGGTGATCATGTGCTGCACATGTGGCAGTTGGGATGACTTGCAAGAATCGGTTCTCTCCTTCTACCATATGGGTTCCAGGCATGGAACTCAGGTCATCAGACTTGGAGGCAAGCTCCTTTACCTGCTGAGCCATCTCGCCTATCTAATCCTTGGTGTTTCTTTATGTGGCAAAAGATGAGTCAACGGCCACCTAACAATCTCAGTCTTACAATGAACTGTACAATTGGGTGCTAGTAAAGACATGGACAGATATTTTCAATATAACATGTGAAAAATAGTTTATAACAGGCTGTATATTAGGAGGCCATATTGATGAAATTTGTAAATGGTTATGTCTAAGTGGTTAAATTTTTTACCTCATTGTTTGAGGGGTTTTCTGTGTTTACTTTTCACAAAAGAACAGGCACGTATATTGTGTAGTTGAACATGTGTATATGTTCTTTTTATATCTGAAGAAAACATACAGTGCTGGCAGCTGGGCTACCTGATCGTCACATGCATACTCATCCCCTTACACACTATCCTCTTTGAAGAGGCTCCTGCAGCCTGTGACTGTGCATAGCTAGCCTTGCTTGCTCTGAGTGTTGGGAAGAGCTACCTCATTTACCTGGAGCCCTGGTGGGTCTTTATGGATTGATTACTCACAAGGATCCAGGAGGGCTTGAGTTCTGAATGAAAACAAATGCACATGTTTGGTCTAGCAAAAAATAAAGCCAGAGAACAAAACAAACAGAAAAGGCCTGCATGACTCTTAGGGAAGGAAATTGAAGCTCTAGGGGATGTGTAAAGTCCCTGGACACAATTTGAGTTTGAGCCACCTGCACACCAGACCCTCTATCCTTTACCTACCTCGAAGAAGCATGTTGGCACATCCCTCAGTGCTGAATGTGGTGTGGTGGGACCCCTAGTTTGATTGGGATTTGGGGAAATGCAATTTGAAGTCATCCCATCTGTCACTAAGATCCTAGAGGCCCTCTGGGGGTTGTCCCTATCAAAAAAGCCAGTGGCCAGGCTCCATTCCAATTCTAGATGTCTAGGGCAGAGTGCCTGAGCACCAAAGGACAGCCTGAGAGAGAGATTGAATGGTGTTGACCCTTAGTCAGGCTGGGGGGTGGGGTGGGAAATGCGGTGGGGGAAGGGGAGCCAACGTCTTTCTGGGAGGTGCCAAAACAGAATGGGGTGCTGTGTGTAACAAATAACCTGGAGTCTTGGCTCGTGGCCTGGAGGTGCGAGACCACCCACAGCGCCTGCCCTGGAGGCAAGTTGTTTCTGCCTGGTAACTGTTTCTGCAAAGGTCTTCACTCGCAGAACAATGTGAATGCTTGTAGCAGTAAGGGGCCTGAGACTAAACAGGCCCCCAAACACTTCTGATGGGCAGTACAGACAGCCTCCAAGGTTTTTGTTATCATAATGAGATGCAGAGAATGTGGTCTCAGTCTTTAACTGGTTTGCCTTTTCTGTTGTTTAGAGATCTGAGTGAAAACCAGATCCAGGGCATCCCGAGGAAGGCGTTCCGGGGCATCACAGACGTGAAGAATTTGTAAGTGCTGTTTTTGTCGCTTTGCTGCATGCAGACAGAGCTCAAAAGGGCCAGAATGGGAGTGAGGGATGCCACAGGAAGGTGCTCCAGATGGCTTGAAAAATGGAAGGCTTCGGAGAGCCCCATTTTTCACTGATCAGAGTCTCGCCCTCCTGAGATTGCATGACTATGGTATCACTTAGCTTCTCCCAGGGTCCTCTGTAACATGGGGTCCTAGTCTGGTAGAGATGTTATATACAGTTAAGAAAATATTAAACAGAGAGGTTGCATTTCATAGTATTCAATAACTTGGAGTGATGACGACAATAACGATGTTGTTATAAAAGTCGTAGGTCCTTATGAAACAGCATTGAGACTTGCATCTCAGGACCTTGGGGAGAAGTAGCCAAATCCCTTTCTACTGCACTAGACTTTTGTTTATTTGCTTTTTACTTAAAAAAATTATTATTGATCAGAAGGGAATTTTAAGGTATCATAGACAGATCTATGTACCAAGTTCCTGAGTGATAACACTGTGGCAACATTCTACATAAACATGGTCTAAAGAGCAACAAACTCCAGGAAGGTAACTTCAGTGTAATCCACAGACTTGATTCTTCAGACTTAAGATTCTTGTGCACACACTTGCTAGTGCAAGCATGAACAGCTCTGTGGGATTTTAGCATGGGCACACTCATCACCACAGTCGGGAAGCAGTCCTGTCCCAACACTTTGTATTTGAACTCGCATAATCACTTTGATCCTTTCCTTCATGACCTCCACAATTCCTGGACCCCTACCTTTACAAGATGTATGCTTTCTGAATCTCTACCCATACAACTTTGCCGAGGATTCACAGCATATTTCAGGAGAGAGGTACAAAATATCACCTGGTTTGAACTGAGCAAGTGCGTCTATCCACTAGCCTCCTCCACTGGTTCAAATTCAGTTTGAGCAGTCTTGTAAGAAACCAAAAGAAAAAAAAAAAAAAAAAAAAACATTTTTAAAAAAACAAAAAAAAAAAAAAAAAAAAAAAAAACCTACTTCAACTGTCATTTTAAGTGTCACCTTTCCCTATAACAAATGGGGAGTTTTAGTTTACTGGTGTACCCAAGGAAGTTGGTGATGGCTTCCAGATACAGACCATCTGCCCACTAGCCATCCTCCCCATCCCTATCTCCACTCCCACCCATGGGACTGGGGTGTTAGAGAAATCTTTTGGTGTTTAACATGTGAAACATGGGACTGAAGAAATGACTCAGCTGTTAAGAGCACTGACTGCCCTTGCAGAGGACCCAGGTTTGAGTCCCAGCACCCGCATGACAGCTACGAACCATCCTTAACTCCAGTTCCAAGGGAATCCGAAGTCCTCTTCTGACCTCTGTGGCACTGCATGACATGGGTGCACTCACATACATGCAGACAACATACTCATACATGTAAAATAAAAAAAAATGAATAAAATATTTTTAAAAAAACATGCAAAGTACACACAGGACAGAGGCATCTCTTCGGGGGGTGAAGGGTATGGGGAGGCAGAGATGACTTTGCAGAGCTTATGGGACAAAGACACTGCCTGCTTCTTAGGGAGTGGGAGAGGATGGAGCAGCACAGCTGCAGCCTCAGAGCTCAGGAGCTTCTCAGAAGACAGCTGTAGCCTCCTATGAGACACAGCTTCAGGCTAGAGATGTAGCTTAGTACTGGAACACATGCACCAAACCCTGTTTAGTACCAAGAGATGGCACTTCCAACAGTTTAAGGTGGTTTTCTAGCATTTTATTCCTTAGATTCTAGGAACCCAGGACTGTACATGAACTCAAACTAAAGCATTGTGTTAATTAGCATCCCAGAATGTCAGGGCAAGAGAAAACAGGGGCCCTTAGAGGGATGGTGGCTAACTCTAGATGCACCAGCTTCTTAATGATTTAGCTCCAAATCAACATTTTTCCTTATAAAGTGATCTGTGGGGTCTCATGGTGGTAATTTTACACAAATCAGTTAAATATATCGCAGTGATGTATAAGCAGGGCTTTGTAATTCTCAACTATTTTTGTTATTTTTGTTAATTACAGAAGTGATTCAACCCTGCAGTGATTCTTATTAGTGACTGAGGGGATTTTGGGCCCCAGCTCCTACCTTGGAATACCTTTAACCATGCAAAGGCCTCAGGAGTAAAAAGCTTCAAAATTCCCAAGTCACTCCAGCAAATGCTGTCAGGCCTGCCTTCTAGACAGAACATATGCAAATATAGTTTCACCATCTCTGATCTGAAAGCTTGGGACCAGAAGTGTTTGGAGTTTCAGATTTTTTTAATGGACTTTTGTAGTGTTTATATATGCATGAAATATTGTAGACACAGGACCCAAGTCTAAACACAGAATTTAAGTGTGTTTCATTTTGACTTCACACACATAGGTCTGAAGGTCATTTATCTACAGTAGTTTTTAAATTTTTGTACATAAAACAGTTTCTTTGTGTGGAATTTTCACTTGCGGGGTGCTAACAGTGCTCAGAAAGTTTTGGATTTTTGGATTAGGTGTGCTCGAAATGTGATATTACTCATGAACCTGAACTTGGAAACTTCCTCTCTTATGTTTATGTCCCTTACTTCCCAGGGGTCCTGGAAAGAACACAGGGGAACAGACTCACTCCCTGAAAGAAGAGTTTAAAAACAAATAAAGGAAAGGAAATTGACAGGGACTAGAGTGTGTTACCCTCCTGATAGTTCAGTTAGCGATGTACATATGGCACAGAGCCTATAAGGGCATAGTAATGTAATTCCTGTTCTCAGATGGCTTACCGTATAACTGGGGAGAAGAAACGTGTGCAAAGAAGAGGCCATTCAGTAAAATACAGATCAACATGAAAACTTGCAAATGAACGGGGCTGTGTGTAGTGCAGGCCTGTCAGAGAAGGAAAATAGCTCTCGGCAATGTAGCCTAGAGGTTAGGAACATGGTTTGGCCGTCTGATAGAATTATGTATGAATTCCATCTGTTTTGGTACTGAGTCTGTGACCTTTGGTAAATGCCTTGACACTTCTGAGTACAGGTTTTCACCACTGTAACATGAGGATAATAATTGGACTTACCTCCTAGGGGTTTTGTGAAGGTTTGTGAAGGTTAATAAAATAATACAGATGAATAACTCAGTGCTGTGCTTGACACATGAAGGTATTTAGAAAGTTCTACCTGCTGTTGCCACTGTGTTCCTTTGTGGCTGTCAGAGTGGTATGGACATTATTTGGCTGGGCCAAAATGATGCTTAGAATTCACAGAGTAAACAAGGCAGGCAGTGCATACAAAGTATAGGGGCAAAACTGGATAGGGTATGTTTCAAAGGACAGGTCTGGAGATACCTCATGAGGCTTTTATCATGGAAAAAGAACATGGACAGGAGAATGTGGAATAAGGGAAGGCTGGGGGCAGGAGAGGACACTGTAGGGAAGGTCTGAGGGCTGGAGCTTGAGAGAGAAGAAAAAGAGGGGAACGAACGGAGGGAGCCAGTAAGAGCCATGCCAACAGAACTGGGCGATTGATGAATTATTAGAGGCTGGGGGGAAACAAGTATGAGATGAGGAATTCCATCACTGGAAAATTCTCAGTCACTCATCCACACATCCATAAAAGTAATTTTTGAGCTCCTGATGAATGCCATTTTGGGGGTTGGGGGACAGCAGAGAGTCATGTGCATGGATCTGTGAGCTCTGCTTTCTTGGAGCTTCTATTTCATAGAGACTGAAAAGTCATAGGGCAGAGTCAGGCTTTGAAGATCAGGAATTGGGTTGTAATTGGGTTGTGTGTACATTGGTGTCCTATCTTTCATGGACAATGTAAAGAGAACATTGTGTTTTGGGAAACTGATGCATCTTTTTCTTTCTGGTTGAGGGACTTTGGCAAAGCCATACTTTATCTCTGGATTTCTTTAATTTTAGTATGAGGGAGTTAGACCAAACAATCCTATAATCCAAAGAGAAAGTGTCACATAGGTAATTGGAGATGCAGGACTAGAGCCCACAACAAATTCATGGTGGGCTGTCATCTTACACAGAGGTAATAATGAAGTTGTTCATTTAAATATACACCTGGGGGCCTAGGGTACAGTTCAGTGGTAGAGTACAGGATTAGCATGCACAAGGCCTGTGTTCAGTTCTCAGCACCACACAGAGAGAAGAAGGAGACAGGAAGGTAGGAAGGGAAGGGGAGCCATCAGTCCAAGGAATATTGGAGACACTTTGCAGACATGAAATTTGCATAAAACGCACTAAAGAAGCACCCCAGACTCTTGCATGGAGCTTTCGCCCCTTGTGAATAATGAATAGCCAAGTTTCAGTCTGTTTGAGAATAAGCCGCAGACCCTTACTACCATACCATGTGAGCTTAGGAAATGCACTACTGTTGTTCTATTTCCTTAAATGACTAGGACGAGAGGAGAAATCACTGGAGTACAGTATCAAGCTTCAAACTAAATGATATGTGAAATGACAACTGATTGAGCCTATCCATGCTCCATATGCTGTATTATGAGGAGAAACATCAAAGATTGGCTGGGGTTTTTAGATCATTATAATACTGAGATGGATTTGTTTGTCCTTGGGTGCCCTTCAAGAAGAGAAAGACTGTGGTGCTCCCATTTTCCAGATAGGGAAATTAGCTTTCCATCAGCCTCTGTAATTTGGTAACAGCTGACAGACAAAATTTAGGCTGCGGTTTCCCACCTAGTATGCCGTGGTACCCTGGACACCCATCCTTGAACTCCATCCAGACTGAGATACTTGGGTCTTCCCAGGTTTCTCCCTTAGCCAGCCCAGCAACAGCAAGAATGCAAAGTAGTAAATATACCACTTCACAGTGGAGGCCTCCTGTACCAGGGGAAGAAAAATAAGGGGCCCCGTGTCTGAACCCTCATGGAACTGGGACGCTACCAGTGTGCTACTCATGCTGCGGGAATTGGAGCCCTGAACCTCCCCCAGGCCGCAGAAGGAAGCCCCTAATTGCTTCCTGCACCTCTAGAGAAAAGTCA